TTAAACACTAAAAATATTAAAAATGCCTAAAATTGAATAAAAAGTACTAAACCAAACCCGAGTTATCAAATACCCCCACACTTAAGAGTTGAACGTCCTCGTTCAAAAGACCAAAAAGAAAACAAACTTTTTATCATCATCAAGAAGAAACAAAGTGAACTTTAAACGCCACACTTAAGACTTTATGCTCATTCAAAATTTTAAAAACAAAGTGAGCTAGAAATCCTAAAAAGATGGAAAACTAAACAATGGATACATCGGGTTCTTAAAAAAATGCTCTAAAGCTGCTACAAAAAAGTTTCCTAAGGGAATCCTATGGTTTAGAACGGCTCAATAGCAGCGGTAGCAAGGTTTATCAATAAGCCTAAAAATATAAAAATCACTCAATTTTCTAAAAATAAAAGGCTCCTAAAACTGGTTTCTCTTCTTTTTTTCTTCAGATTTTAATATCAAGCAATAGTTGTTTAGGCAGCATCTAGATAATATGTGGATGGCCAGTTCTAGAAAACAAAATTCTAAGGTAACCTAGAAGGACTTCAAACATTCTAAGGTCATTTTTATACCAAGAAAAGAGCATAAGACTCAATGCGAGTTTAAAAAGTATACACTTGCCATCTTTCAGGATAAAGCCCCAAGAAAAACAATGATGTTTTTGGGTCAATTTTGAAAACAATGCTCTAAATAAGAAGATTTGCACTAAGAATGAAAATATTTGGACCCAAAACCTTTTTTTTTTTTTTGAAAAAAAATTGCCCAAAATATGATTTCCCAATAAATAAGATAATCGTGAGAAACTCGAGTTATCAATAACGCAGTGATTGCCTTTGAAATTATGCACTAGCTTAAGGGTAAACATCTAAGGGTAGAGGCTTAAGCATCCCTCGAAACTAATGTAAGCAAAGCTTTTGATAGAGTGGAATGACGTTTCCTCGAGGAAATTATGTCCCGAATAGGCTTCCTTATTAACTCCTTCATCCACCTCATCATGTTGTGCATTTCTACCTCCACCCTGCATATCAAACATGACGGCAAAACTGTCACAACCATCACCCCTCATCGTGGAATCCGCCATGGCGATCCTCTTTCACCATTTCTTTTCATCATTTGTGCAAAGGCCCTCTCACAAATGCTCAATCATAGCCTCCACCAAGATTTTATTCATGGTATTTGCACCCCTACTGCCCCAACTATCTCTCACCTTATGTGCAAAATTGCAAATGATTGCATACTCTATTTCAATGCCACACCTAAGGAAGTCCAACAATCACAAACCATCCTTAATGCCTACACATACATCTCGGGACAAATCATCAACTTTAACAAGTCCACCATTTTCTTCTCTCACAATACAAGCCCACTACTTCGCACTTCCATTTGCTCTACTCTCCATGCCAACGAGGTTGAAAATGTTGGAAATTACCTTGGACTACCCTCTCTCATTGGCCGCAACAAGACTAAAATATTTGCAAACCTTAGAGAGAAGTTCAGTGCCAAGGTCCTCTCTTGAAAGAATAGATTCCTTTCTCGAGCCGGCAAAGAGATCATGATCAAATCCGTCCTTTCCTTCATCCCTTCATATGCCATGCAACTTTTCCTCCTCCCCAAATCCATTATTGATGACCTCCACCATACCCTTTCTAACTTTTGGTGGTCCAATGACAAATCAAGTGATAAGGGGTTCATTGGTGGCGTTGGGATTGTCTTTGCACCCACTAACTAGAAGGATGACTCGAATTCCAAAATCTACACCATTATAACATACCTCTGCTTGGAAAAATGGCCTGGAAATTCCTCCAACAACCCGAAGCTTTGGTGTCCAAAATCATCAAAGCCAGATATTTTCCTAACACTTCTTTGTTTGGTTGTTCTTTTCACAGGTCCCCCAGCTTGATTTGGCATAGCATACAGGAATCCATCCCACTCCTTAAATCTGGCACCTCTTGGCGAATTGGAAACAGTTTCTCTGTTCGTGTTTGGAAAGACCCATGGATTCCCCATTTACACTAACCTCTCCCGACCAAGGACTGTCAACATCAGGATCTTCGTGTTGCTGCTTTCGTGTTTAATGGCTCCTGGGATTCTTTAGCTATTTATGCAGTTTTCAATGACCATGACATCATAGAAATACATTAGATTCACCTCCCCGCAACCCCTGTCCGCGACACCCCTTTTTGGAACCTAACCTCAAACGGCATTACACTATAAAATTTGCATACCGTGCATTCCTGCCAGCCTTGGACACAGCAAACACAGTCCCTCAACAGTTGAACATCCCCCTCCCCACTGACAAATGGAAGAAATTCTGGGCCGTCAAGACTCTCCCTAGAGTTAAACATAAGTTATGGCCAGGGGCGGACCCACGTTGAGTCATACGGGGTCACGCGACCCCACGAAAAATTTTAAATTATATATATATACCTATAGGTATCCGTACTTGATCATATTATATACTTTAAAAACGCAATTGGAAGAAGTAAAGCAAGTAGCCGGAGTGGAAATTGCGGCTCTCTCGTTCTCGTTCTAAAGCATTTTGAGTTCGAATCTACCAGAGGGTGGGTTTTATTGCTTTTTGTGAAATCTCCCCTCAAAGCTCTTTTTTCGTGTATTTTTTTCTTGATCTTCTCCTCTTTAAGAAAGAATTTTTTAAAACATAGTTAAATGTGAATCGGATATACTCTCTTCGCCCTAAAACTTTCTTCCTAGAGCACTATTCCAACTTCACGGGAATTTATATTTATTTGTGTTTTTTCATGGCCTATATGATAAAATAAAATATTCTTGTCACCACTTGTTTTGTTGAACTTTTGATGTAGTTTTTAAATATGTATGTTTTATTTTTTTATTTCTATACCAATATTTAAATAAAATAGATTGAAAAAACTTGGGATTTTTCTTCGTTTTGCGCAACAGGAAGAAACATATAGGACGGAGGGAGTATGAATTTATTTTTGTGAATTGTGAATTTTAAAATTTATTTTTTCAGTTTATATATTGTGAATTAGATTTCTATTTTGTAAGCATTCTTCTTTTGTTTTTTCAGAAACTCTATACTAAGTTTTTTTGTGCACTTTTTGTTCTTCACTCTTCAAGAGACAATTTGTTTAGCATGATTGAATGGGACTTGAATATTTAGATTTGTTATTTGTTAACTGTGAATTTTTAAATCTATTCTTTTCAATTTGTAATTTGTGAATTACATTTACATTTTATAAGATCGTGAATATGTTAAAAATGATTGAGTTTTGTTGAAAATTTGTAATGCTCTTATTTATTTACATTTCAATATAGAAAATGAAGGTATTAAGTATTAGTATAATAAATCACTTTCAAAATATGAAAACTAGGCTTTCAAATATGAATTTTACATTTTTAATGAAAGAGTATTATTAATTTGTGATTTTGTGACATATGTGAACTATAATATTATACTTTCATCATCCTTAATGCCTTTCCATTTAGACTTTTAAGAAAATTAAAGAAGGAATATCTTTGTCTTGACTTTCTAAAAATATTCTTAATGTAATGACTAAAAATATGATGTAACGGGTAGATTATTAATAAAAATGTATGATGTGATAGGTAGGATAAGATTTAGTAGGTATAAAAATAGTTTTTTAATAGAAATTGAAAACATTTTGAGAGACAAAAAAAGGAGAAAGAGTTTATGGGATGAAGGGAGTACTATTTAATTTTAGAAATGTTACGTTTTGATATAAATTTTTTAAACTGCGACCCCGTGATTAAAAAGTTCTGGGTCCGCCCCTGGTTATGGCGTGCCATCAACAACATACTCCCCACTTGTGATCGACATATTAGTGGATGCTAACCCCCTCTGCCCATTCTGTAAGTTGTTGTAAGTTGTTGCCAGAGTGTTATACCCCTGGATGGCTCCACCAAAATCCCAACCCCTCCCAAATATCCAAAAGTATTTTATTTCCTTTTGATATCCAAAATAAAGTTCTTCCTACTCTTATTTTAGCCCAGGGCCAAAAATAAGAGTGTGTAAAATAAAACCTTTTGTTTGTTGTTATTTTCATTTTATTAAGCCAATAAAACCCTCCCTTTATTCCATTCACCCCTGGCCAAAATACACTTCAAAATCCCAACATAAACACCCACAAAAAGCCAAAACCCTGACCCACCACTAGCCACTCATTTCCTGCCCATATTCCCTCACAATAACCCAAACCTATAAGTCCAAAACCACCCATTATAGCCCCCATCCCTGCCCCCTTTTCTCAGCAAACACAACCCCTCATTTTACCCAAATAATAGCCACAAAAAACCCAGGAAACAACCACAAGGAACCAAAACACAAA